TCTCCAGCTTCTCCTGGGGATTTGGTGTTTTGCTTTTGTTAGTGTGAGCATGTGTGAGTGTAAATCAGGTAATAGCACCCACGTTTGATAACCAAGGCCAGAGGGACCGTCAGATCACCCGCCCAGACCTCTCACACAGCATATGCCAGTGCATCTCACCCAGAAACTCCACACTGTGCCCAGTAACGCTGCCTTGACATAAGGATAGCTTGTACCATGCTGAGGTCTATCTTCCACAAAGCACCTGGCTGTGACCCGCAGGCAGCACAAGCAGGAGAGCCCAGCGCTGCCGTGGGTACTTTGTCCTGGTGGTTAATCACGCTCTCTGGTAAAAAGATGTGCTTAGTTTTTACCTTGAAGATGTTCGAATTCAGCTTCCAGGCACTTGGCCTTGTTCCACCTTTCTCTGCTAACTCAAGGAAATCATTTGTACCTTGTATTTCTTCCCCAGAAAAAGTAGTTTAATGTTGTAATGCAATCATCCTTCAACCTTTCGGGTACAGCAAACACACGGAGCTGTTACAAATTTCTCACTTTGAGATATATTCCAAGGCACTGGAAGCAATAAAGGTAATTTTTCTTTATTCTCTCAATTTTTCAGTAACTCTTGTGGATACCAAAGCTCCACACAGTGCATCAATATCGATGTCTTCTTCTATCTTTATAAGCTGCTTCCTCTTCCTCCAGCCCTGCCTGCTCCAAAGCGGCACAGTGCATCAATATCGATGTCTTCTATCTTTATAAGCTGCTTCCTGTTCCTCCAGCCCTGCCTGCTCCAAAGCGCACAGCAGATTCCCCAAATGATTCCAAGCAAAAGCAGAGCCCCCAGCTCTGCGCTTCCAGGGCAGGCTGCTAAGATGCAGGCACATTTACAGGGCTCCGGAGACCGCACTGTGCATATACTTAGTTCCTGCATACCCCATCCATTTGGTAGCCTGGTGTCTCACAGGGCTGTGTGGGGAAAACTGCATGGAAATGGGAGATATTGGGGTATTATGGAGATGCAAACTCACACCCAGCTCTCCAGATGCCCAAGCGTCCCAAGTAACGGGTGGCAAGTTATTCCTACTCGCCTCATCAGTATTTTGAAGGAATTCTGCTCTTCAGCATTGATACTAGAGACTAGAAATCAAGCTATTTCCCCAGTGAGACAATAACATTTTTTCAGTACAACCAGTAGATGGACCCCTACACTGCTACAATCGAATGCCTTCAGAGCATTAGATTCAGTGCATTTCTCTTCACCTTAGTAACCCAAAGCTCTGCCCTAAGCTTGTTCTTGTAAAGCACAATCTCTCTCCTCAGTTTCCAGAGGGAGGTTTCGTGCATCTGCAGAGTTACCAGCTGAAACATGACCTGGATACCAAAATGTGAGCTGTTGTTTCCAGAAGCTTTCTAAAAAAATGCAATATTATTATGCTTACAGTGTAGTTGTAGGCAAAGATTAGATTCGAAATCTAAATAGCGAAGACAATACCACGATAAAAGTTTTCCATAATTTTCTATTTCAGATTGTAGATTTAAAAATGATTATTATGACAATACTCTTGTACAGTAATATTCAATCCCGTGAATATTTCTAGACTGATTAGCCAATCAAGTAAACATTTATGACACTACACTTACTATCATGCAGTAACATAGCGGGAACAGTTTTTGTCTGAGGCTGCTAAATGGATGCATAGACATTTGAGAGATTTGCATACTTCATATTAAATGTGTCTTTAATATAAAAAGACTAAAAATTAGCTTTTCGTAGACAGCTACAATTGAAATAACACCAACAGGCAGTAAAAGGACATGCTACTAATCCAGACAAATGAAAAATGAGGATACAAGAGTTTGCTGAGTAAATTTTATGTGACTGGGTAACAGAGAGGACTGTGTGTGTGTGGAAGAGTTCCTGGTTTACACGCCGTGCTCAGCCGCCGCACGGGACACGCCGCACTCCCCTGCGTGACGCGGAGGCAGCAGCCCCTCCACGGCGCAGCCCGGAGCCGGCGCGCGGGAGCCCGGGTGCACCGCGCTCGGCGTGCGCAGGCAGGACGCCCCGAGCTGCGCGCACCTCTGTGTACAGCACTGACAGTCCCTGTCAATAACCCCTGGAAATGCCAGCACCCGACATGGTGTCAGTAACTTATTGTGTAAGGATAATACACTGTCTTGGGAAAGGCCCGTGCAAAGAATAGCTTTGTAGCCAGCACTGTGTGATCAGCATTACCGAGGATTCTTCATATATTGGGTCAATCATTTGATGGATGGAAGCTGGTGTACTTAGGTGAGATTATTATAGTGTTGCTGAATGGTGGCATTTGGGCTTGTTCAGAGCAGCGTTTCTCAGACTGTAGTCTGGCCTCTCTGGGGAGGCTCTGACCTCTGAGGGCTGCAGAAACTAGTCCACAGAAAATGGGAGGAAAAACATTTGCTGCTCCCTGCAAGCTCATTTAAATTGAGGACTCAGCAAAAGAACATTTAATGGGTATTTCTTGCTTTTGATGAGTTACCCAAAGCTGATCCACCATGAGGGAATAATCAACACATTCTGGCCCCGTTTATTACAATCAGTAAGGATGTAGTATACTAAAAATAACACAAAGTTATTATAGAAATTACATACTCAGCATCAACGTCCATACATGTGGTAGCCTCACACAGGGGTGTAGTAAGCTCTTCGGGGACAAAGGCTCTGCACAATGACAATACAGCACTTGATTAGACAAGTTATGTCTCAACATACTATTTTAAAATATATTCTACAATAAATATATATGAAAATATAAGCATTTGGATGGCTCAAACCAATTCAATTTGACAAAAGCTCTTAAAAAAAGGTGTTTATTTAGATTTATGATCAACACCTTATGTTGCTGTACGGTTCATAAAAATACAATTTTCTTTTTCTGGCTCTACATACTCATGCTTGTATTGAACATGTCTTTAACACAAGCCCATACTAAAATGGAATGATAACAAAGCAGATTTTAAGGAATGACATCTCTAAAAATCACCTTTAGCGCTTGCAGTAGGACTATGCTATTGGCCACTATAAAATAAAACCATGATGGCATAAAATGGTGTAACCCCCCTGGAAAAAAACAAAAAACAATCCAACAAACAAGCAAACCCCCACACACACCGACACTGAAACACAAGAGAATCAAAGTTTGCAGGTATCTTAAAACAGTCATTGTCTGGGTCCATTTTAAAAGGGTCTGAATGTCACAGTCGATGTCAGCAGGCAACGTGCACATATATTATTCAGTATTTAAAAATCTAAAAATCTTTACCCTGGGTAATCCAGCTTAATGTAACAACCAGAAAGCCAATTTCTGAGCAATTTCAGATTAGGTTTTCTCGCAAAACCTCAGAAGTGAAATTCCAGCAAGGAACAAGGCGCGCGAGCCCTCGCCTCTCCTGTGACGCGCTCCCTGCAGCCCAGGCTGGGCTGACAACACACGCTCCAACCTCCAGTGCTGGCTCCGTCCTAACCCTCCCCCTCTCCAGGATAATTAATAGGGAGCTCTGCATAAAATGCTGACATGGGCCTCACCTCAAATGTTCTCCCCCTCTGAAGCACATGCACTGCTACTGCCGAGGTCTGCACATGCTCCACTGCCATTTCCAAATTCAGTGGCGTGAACCCCAGCAAGGGGGATACACGGTGTCTGCAAACGCGAACTGTGCCGTTTACTGACAGCTCCATCACTGCAATCAATGTAAATACTAACACCTCATAAACAAACACACAATAATAGATTGTAAATTCATCTGTATTCCCTCCAGGACCAAGCACACTGTCAGAGCTTAAATAATTAATACGCTGGGCTTCTGATGTACCTTTCACCCCAGGATCTCAAAGCACTTTGCAGCATTCAGAGACAGGCTTTTATTTTGCTGGAGAAAATAGGGTAGAAAAAGATTAACTGATTGACCAAGGTCATGCTGTGTTAACATTTTATTCTCCCCTACCATTTGACTGGATAGCTGCTGTGACCTTGTAAAGCTAAAAGAAAGCTCTATTTTAAAGCTAACAATGTAAAGATAATCTCCCTTAAAGTGTACCATATGTTTGTAATTAGGGAAAAGAAAAAGCTCCAGGAGAATTGCTGGTAGTGTGAATGTTCAATGTCCTCTGGGGTAAAAAAGCTGAATTTGTCTGTAGCACCCAAGGGCAGCAGACAGGAAGCCCCAACCAGTCCAGGGAGGAAGGGCTGCTCGGCTGCCTGGGCTCTGCTGGAAAGCCAGGCTCATGGAGCTGGAACGTCTCCAAGGTAAAAGCTGGAGGGGTAAGGTCAG